TTGCATGAACATTTTTGCCCGAACAATGAAAGGAGCGAGCCAACCTGCTGGATCGAACAATTTGGCAATTTGGGAGAGGACTTGGCGCTTCGTGAAAACCGAGCCGGAAGTCAATTCTGGCGAGACAAAAAAGAATTCATCAGTCGCCGCTTTCCACCGCACGCCGAGTGTCTTGGCCGTGCTCTCTGCATCGATGTCGAGAAAGTCAGCACGGAGACGGTGATCGATCGGAATGTCGGACAGGATTGCCTTGTTATTCGACGTCCATTTCCTAAGTGGGAACCCTGCTGACTCTAGGGCCCCTTTCAGCTCCCGAATCGAAGCTTGGGCTTCAGTTTTGGAGTCTGCCCCCGCGAGAACGTCATCAACGTACATAAACTGCCGGATAATTTGGCTTGCCTGCGGATACTTCGACTCTTCGTCGTCAGCGAGCTGTCGCAGTACACGGATCGCCAGGAACGGGGCACAATTGACACCGAAGGTGACCGTTTTCAACTCGTAGTCGCGAATATCCCCATCGGGATTGCGAAACAAAATACGTTGGAGCGGAGTATGCTTGGGGTCTACCCAAATTTGCCGATACATCTTCTCGATGTCGGCGTTGAAGACAAACCTAAAGTATCGCCACTTTAGGATTTGAATCGTCAGGTCGGATTGTAAGACCGGGCCCGCGTAAAGAATGTCGTTCAGACTGGTCCCGTTTGCGGACGGGCTCGAAGCATTGAAGACCACTCGCACCTTGGTGGTCGTGCTTTCGGGCTTGAAGACGGCATGATGTGGAAGATAGTAGGTAGCGGAGTTGCTAGCGGGAGAGACCTCGGTCATGTGGCCTAAGTCGATGTACTCCTGAATTACCGGGTCATAGCGGGCCTTAAGGGGCGGGTCTCTTTTCAGGCGCTGCTCATTACGCAGAAACTGAGCAAGGGCAAAAGACCGTGAAGCCGCTAGCTCGGAACCCTTCTGCCCGGGGTCGCGTAAGGGGAGCGTCACAATGTACTTGCCACACTCGTCTCTTTTCGTCGTCTGGACAAAATTGTGCTCGTAAACTGAATCCGATTCCGAACTTATCGGTGTGGGCACATCTTCCACCTCCCAGAAGTTGGTGAGGAGCTGATCCAGTGAGTCACCGAGGCTGGGGGCCACTCGTGTGGAAAAAACGGACACGCTGCGGGGATTGGCTGGAGATAATGGTCCTGTCAGCACCCATCCAAAAATGGTCTCCTGACCGAGAAGCGACCCGCATATGTTAGCCTTGGCATTACCGAGGAGAATGGACGGAAGAATGTCAGCTCCTATTAGTACATCGACTTGGGAGCTCTCAAAGAAGTTGGGGTCCGCCAGGGGAATGTCGGGCAGCCCCTTGAGACGATCTGAGACGAGAATCGGGTATGATGGCAGATTTCCTGCCAACTGCGGCAGAACGTAGCCTAATTGTAGCCCAGGTCTAGACGGCGACCGAATGGAGAAATGGCACAATTTTGTAGACTGCGCGGAAATGGTCTGATTAAGGCCGGAAACTTGGGCTTGAATCGTCTTGAAGGGTGGTTTGACGAGGTTGAACAGTCGTTCCGTGATGAAGGTCGCTTCGGACCCTGAGTCGATCAGAGCTCGTGCCTGGAAGCTGCACCCCAAATGGCACACGTTGATAAGGGCCGTGCCTAGTAGGACGGCTCCTGACCCGGAAGCGAAACACACCTGCACATCCGATTGGTCCTCTGGGCCGTTTGTGCTTCTGGCAGTCTGTGCGGGTCGAGCCCTTGCTGTCGTAGGCGGACTTGGAGCGGTGGCGAACGGATTGCCGCGGTGCAGAAGGGTATGGTGTCGGCTGTGACATGTGAAGCAGGTATGGGCGCTCGTGCAGTCTCGTTGCTGGTGCCCTCGGGCAAAACAGTTCAAACATAGCTGCTTTCTTTTAATATAGTCCGAGCGCCCATTTACGTCCATTTCCAAGAACCGCGGACATAAGCGAATGGGGTGGTTCTCCCTCGAACAGAGATCGCAACCCTTGGGGCCCGGAACCACTCGAGTCTCGTATGAATGGAGCCTTCGAGCAGGGGCAGTAGGAGTTCCCGACCTTGGCGGAAGTTGCCCGGAACTACTAGGCCTGACGTCGTCGATTGCTTCCAGAGTGCGATGGCGCTCTGTCAGGAAGTTGTCTAATTCCTTCCATGTTGGAATTTTGGCCTTGTTATGAACGGATTGCTCCCACATGGAAAGTGTGACTTTGGGGAGCTTTGACGAAATCATAAACACCAGAAGGCAGTCCCAAGCCTCAACATTAATGACGGACATTGCGAGGGCTGTCAGACAACTCTGAATGGTGGCTTGGAGCTCTTTCAGCGCGACCCCGGACTCTTGAGAAATAGCCTGGAGGTTGAAAAGGATTTTCAACTGGCTATTGACCAGTAGCCGCCGGTTCTCAAAGCGGTCTGTGAGGCTTTGCCAAGCGACGACAAACCCCTCATGGGTAAGCGGAGCCTTGGAGGCGGAGGCGTGGGCGTCTCCACTTGTTTTGGACAGTAAGTGGAACAACCTCTCTAACGGGGTGAGCCGCGAGTTTTGGATGTAAATGGCCGTAAACAAGTCTCTGAAGGTGGGCCACCGAAGATAATCACCCGCAAAGACCTCGGTATCCACCGGAGGTAACCGGCAGCCTGTAGGCGCGGGCGTGTGGACATTGACGGAAGCCTGAGTGGATTGGGAAGCAATTTTCTCCCGAAGCTGGGCAATACATCTCGAATAGACGGAGTAGCAGTAGTTGTACTTCGATTCCAGCGCGGTCGAGGTGGCCACATTGTCGTCTGACACGGCTAGTAAGTCGGAGCAGCTCTCATAGCTTTTCTCCACCTTCTCCCACAGTGCCCGAATTTGGTCCCGATGGACCTCGCAAATGTATTGGGAGCCTCCTTCCGTTTCTCTGGCGCCCGGAGTATTTATGTTAGCCTCAAATTGGCTAATTCGATCCGTTGCGGCGATGAACCTTTTCAGCGCCACGTTGACCGCATTTTGAGCCATTTTTGCAGCGGAACGAGTCTGCCTCTGTGAAGGACCGGGGATTGTATTGACGGATTCGTCACTCTTTGCCCTTGGAATGGCACTGTACGCCTTAGGCTTTAAAAGAGGCGTCCGCGGAGAAGCGGATTGAAATCTGTCCAGACGGATGGTTGGGATCGGACGTGGCTTTTGGTCGTCTCCCGTGGGCATTCTCAGACACCAATTCGCTGGTCAGAACTTGTCGACTGACGCGCGCAATGGGTGCCTCGTACGAAGCGGTAGCCGGTCACTAATGTGATGAGACCGGTGAGATCGCGGACGAATTGCGATTGCAAGGCCAAGTGGGAATTAGAAGCGCCGATGTCGAGAGGAACGTCGGATGCGGCACAATTCGGATGTGGGAGAAACTTCAGGAAGCCAAAAACAAACCCAGAAGGGCCAAGGTTCGTTGAGATTCTAGGCGGATGTTGCCAGATGCGAAGTAGAAGCCGCGTTAGGAAAATGACGGAACGGAAAATGGACAAGGCCCGGAAAACTCGTGATCGTTCGGAAAAATAATTGATGACTGTCTATATAGATATGTCTGTATATTTCGACCAGTATGGCTCGTACGTAAATATTCAATTCCTGACTATTTTCGAAATTGCGGAGCCGGAAAGGTGGACTTGACCTTGGCTTGGATTGAACACAGAGAAAAAAAAATTAATAATTAATTTTTGCCTAATTGGCGGATTTAATTATTATGGAAACAGACGGGTGGAGTTGAAATATATTACGACAATTTACAATATTACAATATTACGACAGCGGCGGACTGTTCGGTGAACTTGGAGATTCCCGGAACCACTTCACACCGGCTGGCCAATATCAATTATGCCCTTTTATTTTTATATATATATTTTTTTTTTTCACCACACACTTTCACTGTTTACTTGCCGATTTTTTTTTGCGGATTAATTGCAGTAAACACAATGTATGTGTGTATGCATGTACATATGCCTCGACCGTTGGCGAGCGAACGTATAACGGAAAAGCCAAAAACGGCGAGGAATATGGCGAGGCACTCACAACGGAGATGGATGGAAAATTTGGTAATTTTTTTGTCTTAGAAAAGTCTCAAGCTGCCGTGGTGTCGGAAAACTCGGACTTGGAGTTGACACGGAGGGAAAAACAATCTTGCAGCAGTGTGAACGAAATTTTATGTTCGGACCACTGCTGAAGACCGGCAGAGAGACGGAGACGGAAAAAATTTCGTACTTATCTTTTGGGCGGAACAATGCCTGAACTGCTGGTGGATCCAAAATATCCTGAATATCCTGGTATCCAGCTCGAAGGACCAAAATGTGTAGGGGGGCGTTGGTTCCGCAAAAGTATTCCAGAATGGGGGTTGAAAAATTAGAAGTCGGGGGCGTCTTCAGTTTCAGTATAAAGAACGCGTTCAGCTTTATTGGCTGCGTACATCGAATTGACAACTTTAAAACTAGTGCAAAAAGAGATCGCCGACAACCAGCGAGCGAGAAGAGAGGGCACAGAGGGGCGAGTGTGGCGGGTGCGCTCTTCAGTGCGGATGCGCTCTTCAGGTGAGTGGCACCACGGCCCCTCACCTAAACATATCCGATATTATCATCGGATACTATCAGTGTTTTTAAACTTCGTTAGGTTACGTTAGGTTTCTTTCTTGTTTTTAATTGGTTTTACTTATATGCATAGTTTAAATACAAGTATCTTATAACAATAATTTTGTTTCAATCTTCTCATATTTATTGTCCATATAAAATATTAACTGATATTAATTTATTTATATTTATTCTGACAGAAATTTTTCTTATAAGCTATGCTGTTTTGGAAAGAGTCTATCTGAAGAGACAATATCAAATAATTTGGAAGCTAATATATCAAAGGATTTTCATGCAAGTAAAATATATGAATCCTTTCAAATATTACCAGCACGGTTAATCAGTAGACGTCTCAGTAACGGCTTTTTCCATCATGAAAAACGGTTACCAATGGTATCTGTGGATATGCTAGGACGAAATATCTCAATAATTTTGGAAAACCTTCTTCAGCACTATGAAAAAACACAATTACCCACACATGGAAGCCATTTTCCGACGGTGGTTCGGACCAATATTCTCATACGTAGTATGGGCCCAGTTTCTGAGTTGAACATGGACTACGGAATGGATTGTTATTTTAGACAATATTGGCATGACAACCGCCTCAGTTTTAATGGTCCTATCAAGAGCTTATCACTAAGTATTAAAATTCTGGACAAGATTTGGCGCCCTGATACTTATTTATATAATGGAAAACATTCACATATACATACAATTACTGTTCCGAACAAGTTGTTAAGACTTTATCAAAATGGTGGAATACTTTATTCAATGCGGTATGGTTAACTAAATTATAGCTTAGAATAAGGATATCTTTGTGGGCCTTAGCATGCGCGAGTAGACTACTATAAATGAGGAAGAATTAAAAATCCGAAAAATTAAAAATCTGACGTTGAAGTCGTCAAAAAAATCTAAAATTCTCTGTTGATTCCGATTCGATTAACACCTCAATTATTCCGATCCGATATTTCGTTAAAAGGACTTCAGAAACAAGGTTTTATACTAAATCTTAATTGAAACTTTGTTCTAGTTTTTCAATATCGTTATCTGCATGTCGTCTGATTTATAGCTTTAGATATATTAGTGTATATTATACCCGGTACTCATCTCTTTCACCCATACTTTTGCGTTTGGGAAAAACAACAAACTTACGGCCGTATTACCGATTTAGTAGGGAGGCAGACTAAAAAGTCTATAACTTCTCTATCCTATATAGAGGATATAACAGTGTATAAATTATCCGATTCGGCTCCTTTTTATACCCTTGCAGAGGGAATTATAATTTTGTCCAAAAGTGTGCAACGCAGTAAAGAAGACATTTCCAACCCTATAAAGTATAAATATTATTGATCAGTATATATATTATTGATTTAAAGCTATCGACTTGAAACTTTGCACACGCCCTTTCCGTTGCACGCAGTATATAAGTCGGAACGGTTGGGATCGGCCGACTATATCTTATAGCTGCCATATAACTGAACGATCGGAAATGGATTTTGGTAGAAATTTCAACTTTGGTGTTTTTTAAGTTAGAAGATTGAGACTTTTTTTTAGATTTTGTGTTATAATAAATTGGGTTTTATTATCATATGTTCTATATTCTAACTATATCCGATGTTTGCAATATATATCCAGTTTTAACTGCAAGGGTATATCAACTTCGGCTCCGCCCGAAGTTAGCTTTCCTTTCTTGTTGACTTATAGGTATAGATTACCCATTGGAAAAGTTTGGCATCAACAAATTTTCCAAAAACATTAACGAACTGGCGCTTACCCCAGACTTCTGTTTTGGGGCGTGGCAAAATTTTAAATAAATTTAAACTGCGTGGGCATTTATATCTTATAGTTTATGAGATCCACGCGTTCATACGGATATGACTATATCGACTCGGCTTTTGTATACTGTACTGCTATAATATACTGTATATTTTTTGATGAATCGTTTATCATTAATCAGAGCCCGGCCGTTGCGATTTATATACTGCGTGCAAAGAAGGATGTGTGCTAAGTTTAAGTAGCTATAAAACTGAAAACGGATAGAAAAACGGAAAGATATTTAGAGGCGAATTTAACTTTAATCCAAGCGTAGCTCATCTTTGCTATTTCCCCTTTTTTATGCAATTGAGGTTCTTATATCTATTTCTGCACTTTCTTTTGCCTACTCCAATCGCTCTTCTATTGGTACAATTTGGTACAGTTGTTCAAGGTACCTTTGTTTTTGATATTTTTGTTACTCTTGAGACTTATATGGAATTTAAATTGGTCTGCTCAATTATTTCTTGAGTTAGAAAATCTTTTTATATCAGCCTACCATCCACGTTGCAAGCTCCCAAATCTCAATTTTGATAATTCTTTCTTTGCATCCTATATTATAGAGGTCTGCATGAATAGCTAAAAAACGACATTCGAATGCACAATCTGAAAAATGAATTGAGTGAGATAGAATGCTGAGACGAAAGTGCGACTGTATAGGTCTCCCTCGCACAACATTCGGGGGATGAAAACCGAATCGAATGAGTTACAGTTACAGTTCGCATTCGCATGGTTTCGAATGCATTCTAGGATGTACGATACAACTATGCATATTTGCTTGTTTTTTTAGATGCTGATAATAAAATAATTCAAAAGTGAAAGCAAGTCATTGTATTTTTTTCAGAAATATTTATTATTACGTTGTACATTTTATTTTACATATTTATACCCTTGCAGAAGGTATTATAATTTTGTCCAAAAGTGCGCAACGCAGTGAAGGAGACATCTCCGACCCTATAAAGTACATATTTTCTTTATCAGGATCACCTCCTGAGTTGATATGAGCATGTCCGTCAGTATGTTTCTACGCAAACTATTCTCTCAGTTTAAAAGCTATCGACTTGAATCTTTGCACACACACTTCAAGCAAAGAAACTTTGCACACACACTGCATGCAAAGGCAGTATATAAGTCGGAACGACCGGGATCGGCCCTTCACATCATTTGCTTCATCATAGTCTTCCCTATGATTAGCGGCAGATCGTGAATTCCGCTTGACAAATCTGTACCAAGCTGTGAAATCTGCTTAACAAATTCCTTCCAACTGCTCATGCCTTTGCAGATATCGGTCAAGAATATTACTCACAAAAATATCCACCGAGTTGTTTGGTAGTCGCTCTAATTCGTCATTTGAGCGAGCCAATCTAACTCGCTTGTCTGGATGGCAAGTGTTGATAAAAATAGTACCTTCACTTGCCTCCGACATATGCAGACCCAAAATATCATATGCTGCTTCTAAATTATTATTTAAAGCTGCGTCTTCATTAGAAATGGTCATTAAAGCTTCCTTAATTTTTTTGAACAAAGTTTTATGTTCTTCAACATTCACTTCGTTTTCTACTATTGGATGCAAAAGTTGCGTTTCGGGCATAGGAGGATATGTCATATTAAATCGGCAGAACTCCAGTACGCGTAACTCTCTCAGGCACGAAGCTCTATGCTTCTGGCGTTAATACTGAATTACTTCTTGTAGCTCAGGATCGTCTCCATTTGTAGTAATAAACCTATCGATAAAGTTTATTACTTGCTCGGTATTTCGAGGTCTTCGAGCTTAGGAATACCAGCAGAGAGTGCGAAGATCCTCTGTGCTGGAATTCGATTCTCCAATAAAAATGGGAAAGATTGAATTCCCCAAAAATATCGATTTTGAACAATTTCATAATTTGTCGCAACCTGTAATCGAAATATCGAGAGCACGTCACTGGATCGGATTAACCGAGCCTTTTCGGAGCCTGAAAGAGCTGCCGCTTCTTCTTCGCTTGTAGCCCTATCCAATAGAAGGGAAAAGATAACTAAAAGTTCATTCCACTTAGTTTCAGCAGCGGAAAGGGTAATGAAAAAGGTTGGCAACCCATATTGTCGAGTCATAGCAATAACTTTTTTTCAGCCTCCCAATGAGCTGGTGCAGACCGTAAGCCTTTAAGGATGTGGTAGCCATCATCAAATTACTTATCCCGCAGATTACCAGCGGTAACTGCACTTGACTTTTTGCGTAAAGCAATTGAAAAAGAATTTTGAATGCGCTGCATTTCGAATATTTATACATGTATACAACTTTAGGAACTACAGCGCAACGACGGTCGTAAAATCGGATTTGAGATCTGGACCTTTTCGCATTGGTTGTATTTCTTTTAAATATTTCTCCGCAAGAAATAATTGGAAAGGAAAGGAAAGCTTATTGGCCGATGGCCTTCACCCGGTGCCAATGCAATGCGTTGAAAAGCAGTATCATTATTTTCCAATAATGTTTCATGGCCTCCGGGATTTAAATTTTCTTCGAGAGCTGCAGCATTTTGGAAGTGGTGTTGCTGGCAAAAAAGTTGCTCTACTGCTTCGCGATCGGATTCGTTAGCAATAAAAGGAATTTCATTAATTCCTTTAAGTTCTGCTAGCCATGATTTGTTCAGTGAAATGTTGTACTGTCTGTAGAGCTCGGTATTCACTAAGTACCGTACAGCTTCAAGGACGCGAGCGGGTCGAATAGTTTCAGTCATGAAATTGTGAGCGTACTCTAGTTTCCTGTTAAGATGGACTTGGATGACATGAGTAGAGTTGAAAGAGCGCTGAAGCGCAGTCACAATATCGGGAAATGATATTGGAACATTCACCAATGACCCTCTGATTCCGCATTGCCTTTCATACCCGAGGGAAATAATCCTCATAAAAGGAATTCTTTTAAGGCGTTCTTCAAGGCAGGTGAGTCCATTCAAGCACTCAGGAATTTCTGGGAAGTCGAACCCATTAGAAAGGCAGAGTGACGGGAGTTTGCCAAGAGAGATGACACGACAACAATTGTGGCAAACTTTACATTTAACGGACGGACTGGGAAATTTCGTTGGAAATAAAAAGCGTTGCTAACGTCCCGAATGCGTTTAGGAATTTGAAGTTCCGGAACAGTCCTCCGAGTAGAGTGCTTAACATTGTTTCGCAAGTGCTCTCGTCGTCGCTCCTTGGGGTCCTCTCGATGCCTCGCGTGTGCATCCATGTCCCGAATCCGTTCAGGAACTCTAAGTTCCGGAACAGTCCTCCTAGTAGAGTGCTCAGCAGTGTATCGCAACTGCTCTCGTCGTCGCTCCTCAGAGTTCTCCCGTCCGTCTCCCGAGTTGCATGTGCTTGTGCGTCCCGAATCCGTTCAAGGTTGCGAACCCTCTCATTTCTTCTTCGCTGCGCACGTGCAGTGGGATCTTGAGCACGACTTTCCTATCGGAAGTTTGGATTATTGTCGCAGACATTGTCGATATGTTGAGAATTCCGAGTTCGTATTTGGGATGCATTCCGTTCATAGCGGGCCCTGCTGCGGCTTAAAGCAGCTTGGCGGCGTTGCTCCTGGGAAAAACGTGACACGCAAGGCATTCTTTTATAGTGCTGTACAAAAAAATTAAAATAATGAAATTAATATAGAAATCACATGGAATTTCGTCCTCAGGACTTTACGCTAATTCGAAATTTAAGGAGTTTTTAGATAAATAAACTTACAAAGGTTTGTTTTTCAAATCAATCTTTAGCGCGCTATTAACGTACTTTTAATTTATAATACAAATTTAATTTAATAATTTTAAATTTTAAATCACGAGTAAAAAAAATACTTTTGCACAATTTGATTTCTCGATTTAAATTTTTCACTGGTAAAAAAATACTTCCGAACAATTTAAATTTTGCACTGGTAAAAAAATACTTCCGCACTGTTAAAATTTATGCACTTGTAAAAATACTTTCACAAACTGACAGAGTGACGTCGTCACTC